TGTCCCTCAACATGAGCGACCGATCGAGCAGCATCTCCGAGGGCGGCCCCACCGACCCGCCGCCGCCCTACTCGGCCCCGCACTCCACCCTCGTCGCAGTCCGGACGTCCTCCGCCTACGCCCTCGCCGCTACGCCCCGGCCGCCCTCGCCCACCTACGGACACCACAATCCGTACGTGATTAGCGGTGGCGACAGCGGCTACAGCTCGGGGTCAGTCGACAGGTGCTGTGGACGATCATGTTGATGCTCGAGTGTCGTGGTGGCTTTCGTTTGGTGGATCGCTTTTATGCGGTGCTGTTTCAGGGGCGTCGGGTTGGGGCCCCGAGAGCGCTTTGGGCGAAGGAGGGTCACTAGATGCTGCCGCTCTTGCAAATACATGGGTTGTCTGGAGGGCATCGCTTGTGTTGAGCGAATGTGTATGCTGTTTGATGATGATTATGGCTATATTTTGTGTATTTTTTTTATTTTTTTTTATTTTACAGATATTCACGTGGAGAGCTTTTTTAGATAATCGTTTTGTTTCCTTCTTTCTCTACCGCAGGCCTCTCGCTACATTCCCACAGACGTTCTTGTCTCCAGCTTCGCCCGCCCGCCCTCCGCCCCTGAGAATCACGTCCGCGATGCCCCAGACCTTCGCCCCCGCCCTCACGCCCACCACCCGCCCCTGCAGCACCGCCCATATCATCCACACACACCACCCGGGCCCCGACGAGAACCTCTACACTGCCACGAAGTTTTAATGGCGCACTGCTCCTGCGGCTGACACCTCCTGTTGCTCTGCTTCCTCTGCGTGATGCACACACACACACACACACACACACACACACACACACACACACACACACACACACACACACACACACACACACACACACACACACACACACACACACACACCAACCAACGCAGAGGAAAGGGAGCGCTCCTGAGACGGTGGGTTTGAGGCCCGAAGAACAAAAGAGGCGAGACATGTATAAGAGATAAGGAAGAGAGATAAAAAAGGTTAAGCGACGAGAACTGTTCGGGGGCAGCATGGTTGGGGGAGACCATGGAGCCCCGGGAACTTCAAGGAGGAAGGAAGGAAGGAAGAGGAGGAGGGGAGAAGAAACAGTGGGGAGAAAAAGTACATCACGTCCAGTTATCGAAGACCGAAGACTTCTTCGCATGGGAGAGAAGAAGAAAAAGTTGAGAGAAAAAAATAAAAAAATGGAAAAAAGGCTTAAGTTTCTGAGCGTCTCCGAATCCTTCCGGTGACGAGAGATAAAACTTTTTAAATTGCTCAGAATGCCAAGGCCATAACGGGCAGCCATGTTGACGGCGACCAGCCCCTTAACCCCTTGAGCGAAGGGGACCGTCCAGGTGGCTGGCGAGGAGGAGGGGAGGGAGGGGCAGGGGAGGGGCATCCCTCGCCACCCCGCTCTCAACTTCTCTTGTTCGACTTTGAGGAGACTTTTTTGCTCTCACTGATGGTGCATACTGTTTATAACAAGGCTGATTCAGAAGCCGTGTGTTTTTATGTGTGTGTATATATAGAAGACGACAAAAATGTATTCTGAAGTGATGATTTCCCGATTGTGTTGGCGACTCTAGAGCAGAAACCACGGGTCGTCTGAACACAATCTCTTTTATGCTATGTGTGGGATGCGAACACTGGGTGAAAGAAAGGAGTTTCCGTGAACGTTCTTTTGAAGATCTTTTATTTTGTATTTCACACTTTTTACCCGCAAACCCTACACCCTGGTACATGTACTTAGGTCCAAAGTGTAAACTCTTCTCTCTCTCTCCGTGATAACTTCGATCGCTTTGCCTAGCTCTGTGTAGTGTGCTTGTACACGTACAAGAGCGGTGTTGAACAAGTGTGCGAGCTGGGAAGGGGAGACGGGAGCGGGGAGAGGGGAGGGAGGGGAGAATGGAGAGTGGAGTGGAGAAGAGAGAGGAGAGAGTGGAGAGAAGTGAAGAGAGGAGAGAGGAGATCCCAAGCACAACAAGCACCGCAACTTTCAATTCATGCGTCGAGGGAGTTTCGCCCAAACTCGGCAGAACTGTTCTTCCGAGCTCTGAGAACTTATCATTCAGGTATTATAAACTTTCCGAGGCTGTTCTCTCCAGGAGGGCTCTCGCAGCTGTTACACGTGACTGATGCTTATTAATTAACTGAAAATAGAAAACAACAAAGGCAAAAACTGTATTTATTTTTGGTAAAGGGGAAAAAGAACTTGCCAGTGATAAATAGAAAAAATGAATAAGAAAATATAGATAAGAAGTGAAAAAAAGAAAAAAAAACGAAAAAAATATAACAAATCTCGAGACATACTTTGGAGAACGTTTATGGTTTATGGTGCTTCCCCCTTTTTGGTTCAACTTAGAATGAGCGAAAGAAAATGAGCATATATCTATATTTTTTGCTAAAATATGAATAGATGATATTGTAGGTGAAAAATATACCAGAGTCACGCAAGAGATTAAGAGAACCACCTCCCTGTCTCTGCCTCCCTCCCTCCTTCCTCCTCTTCCCCTCCCTCCTCCTTTATCTGTTTCTTATTCTTCTTCATCTTCCTCATACTTCCTCTTTCCTCCTCCTCCTCCTCCTCCTCCTCCTCCTCCTCCTCCTCCTCCTCCTCCACCTCCACCTCCTCCACCACCACCACCTCCTCCTCCTCCTCCTCCTCCTCCTCCTCCTCCTCCTCCTCCTCCTCCTCCTCCTCCTCCTCCTCCTCCTCCTCCTCCTCCTCCTCCTCCTCCTCCTCCTCCTCCTCCCTCCTTCCCTTCCCCCGACGCCCTACCACAAATTGGTTTTCTCGAATTAGACTCCCACTGCTCTTTAACACTTTGAGACTCCAGAAGCGAGAAAAAAGGAGAAATGGAAGAGCGAGAGGAGAATAATAACAATAACAATAGCAAGTCCAGATGAAAACGAAACCGTCCAATTAAAACTTCCATCGCTCAGAGCCAAGAGCCGATCGCGGGTTGCTGGCTGGGCGGGAAGCGTCGGTCCCTCGTCGGTCCTCGTGGCTCGTCGGTCCCTCGTGGCTCGTCGGTCCCTCGTCGTTCCTCGTGGCTCGTCGGTCCCTCGTGGCAAGTCGGTCCCTCGTGACTCGTCGGTCTCTCGTGGCAAGTCGGTCCCTCGTGGCTCGTCGGTCCCTCGTCGTTCCTCGTGGCTCGTCGGTCCTTCGTGGCAAGTCGGTCCCTCGTGGCTCGTCGGTCCCTCGTGGCAAGTCGGTCCCTCATCTATCCCTCGTGGCCCGTCGGTGTCTCGTGGCCCGTCGGTCCTTCATGGTCTCTCATGGTTCGTCGGTCCTTCATGGCCCGTCGGTCCCTCGTGGTTCGTCGGTCCCTCGTGGCTCGTCCTTCATGACCCGTCGGTCCCTCATGGTTCTTTGGTCCCTCGTGGTTCGTCGGTTCCCCGTATCTCGTCGGTCTCTCGTGGCTCGTCGGTCCTTCGTGGTCTGTCGGTTCCTCGTGGTTCTTCGGTCCCTCGCGGCTCGTCGGTCCTTCATGGCCCGTCGGTTCCTCGCGGCCCGTCGGTCCTTCATGGCCCGTCGGTTCCTCGCGGCCCGTCGGTCCCTCGTGGCCCGTCGGTCCCTCGTGGCTCGTCGGTCGAGCTAAAGTGGAATGAGTGACAAGACAGAGCCAGAGAAGTGCCAAAGATCCCTCCCCCCACCCCTCTGCCTTCTTATCCTCTCGCCTTCGCCCCTCCACTTCCTTCCCCTCCCCTCCCTTCCCCTCCCCTTATCCCCCACATCCCTGACCCCCCCCCCCCATCCTTTCATCCCTCTCATCCGAGAGAGAGAGAAAAAAAGAGAGAAAGGAATTTCCATTAACGGATTATCTAGGGATTTACGTAGAAGACGATGAAAGACGATGAAAGAAAAAGAAAAAAAAGGAAAAAAAGGAAAAAAAGGAAAAAGTCATAGCCGAATACGGGTAAATTACCAATGTGTTTAAAAGCGGCTGAGCGAGGCATTTCGCGCGTCAAGGAGGAACAAACGCGGTGAAGATTTATTTTATTTTTTTTTTTTTTTTTGTGCCAATTGTTTATTTACCCAAGAAGGGGCGGGAGGCAGTGGCTTCATTAGAGGTTCACATTTTTATGAACTTATGAGCTTTATATACAAGTAAGCTGTATCAACATTACGTACATACATACATGCATATATATATATATATATATATATATATATATATATATATATATATATATATATATATATATATACACACATATATACATATGAATTAACTTTTGTGAATAGCCTCACAATGAACCAATGAGTTTAGAAGTGACCGTAGTGTTTATATTATTTGGGCAGAGATGCCAAGCAGTGGTCCTCCGAAAACGCATTTTTTTCCCCTGAATGTTTTCTGGTTCGCTAAATGTGCTGTGCCGGTCATCAGTGTCTTTGATGGATTTTCCAAAAGTTGAAAACAAAAGAGACGAAAGTGAGGTGGAGAAATATGTAAGCTGGAAATCAGGAAAATAAAAAAAAGAAGGTAGGAAAGAGAGAAAGAACTGAGAGAGTTTAGGTTAGTTAGTTACCGGTGACGCGACCTTTTTTTTTCATTTTTTTCTTTTTTTCTTTTCTCTTTTGTCTATTTTTTTTTATATCTCATTTTCTTTTTCTCTTAACTATTCCCCTCCTCACCCCCTTGTTATCTTGTTTTCTCAGCAAGTCTACTAATTGATCGCTTCATGTATATGCAAATTCTTCTCCATTTTTTTCTTTCCTAGTCCTACGTGACCCTCGGCCTTGCCCCCTCCCCCCACACCCAACCCCCTCCCATACCCCATAGCGACCCCGTGACCCAGCCTTGTGCCCCTTCCCTGCCCCTTCCCCTCCAGAACGGCCCTGCCTTGCCCATTTCCCCAGGAGACAATGTCATCAACTTGCCTCCATTAGCGACCTTAGCAGTCCTTCCACATCCCGTTTTCTGTGTTCGTTTTCTTTCACTTTTTTCGTGGTTCTTGTCGACGTCACTTTCCCGTATCCTGTCTCTGGTCCTACGGCCTCTCCTATTTCAACCTCCTGTTTTTCTCCTTATTTTTTTCATCTCTCCTGTTTTTATTTGTTTATTCAATTATTACTATTATTATTTATTATTATCATTTTATTATTATTATTATTGTTATTATTATTATTATTATTATTATTGTTTTTATTTACTGTATCTGCCTTTTCTTTCTTTCTCTCTCTCTTCTTCCGTGTCCGCAATTACTTTTTCTCAGATCGTTTCTCGCCGCCGTTTTTGGTTGGTGTCGACCAGGAGTGCTCGTCCAAGAAATGAAAAAAAAGGAAGAAGGTGTGATTTTAAGAAAAAAAGAAGAAAAGAAAAGAAAAAAACAAAAACAAAAAATAAACTTCCTTGTGACGAATCTTTTTACTAAGATCCGTAGAGCAGCCGGGCCAATCTCATACGCAGGTATCCTGTGCTATGTACAGTGTATTGTAAATGACCTTTGTAAATGAGTGATTTTAAGAGATAAGGAAATCCAAAATTATATGTTCACGTATTCCACGGTCTACGAAAGACGGATATGGATGGAGTGAATCGTGTGCGAGTGTACGTTATAGACTGGTTTCGTAATAGACGTGTTCGGCGTGGGTGCTTTCGTGCTCGGGATTGGAGAGCGGAAGACGAGAATGTGATATAATTGTAAATTCATCCGACTGTCAGTGTTTCGTTTACCTGTTGTGTTCCTTGCCTCGAATTCCTGCAACGTTATAATGTACTGTAGCCTTTAGTCTTTTGTTTTATTTCGGTGTTTTCGTTTTTGTTTGTTTCTTGTTCGACTTGGTTTGATTTTTTGTTTTTTTGATGACTATTGCTTTTATATTATCATTATTGTCATTATCATAATTGTTAGTAGTGTTTATGTTATTGTTGTTGTGGTTATTAATTTTGTCGTTATCATTATTATTATCATTATCAATATTATTATTCATATTATTATTACAACTACCATTACCATTGTTATATTTATAATTGTAATTATTTTTATTATTATAATTACTGTTATTATTAGTACCATATTTTTTTATTATTGCCATTAATATTATCATTATAATAATCATTGTTATTACCTTTAGTATCATTATTATTAGTACGATTATTACATGAAACTATAGTGTGTAACATCTTTGTTCCATCAGCTTTTATTTGTAGATAGGCTTCTTTTTCTTCTCAAGATGTATTTTGAAAGTCAGTGACACGTATATGAACTCAAAATAAGAAATATAAAATCAACTGATCTCAGGCACATATTAATGTCTAGATGGCATGTAAGGCCCGACTTGATTGGCGAAGCGGAAGCGAATCTTAAAATAGAAAATGAGATCTCACGAGCATTGAATATCAAATTTTATAATATATAAAAAAAATCCACCACTGTTTATATAGTTTCTCTAGTATTTCTCTTTTTTTAAAGGGCATTTTACTAAAAAAAAAAGGGAAACGGAGGAATGATATAGAAAATGGGGAACAGAGAAAGGAAAAAAAGAAAATGGAAGCGACGCGTAACCAATCAAACGCCGCCTTTCAATCTGATCAAAAAAAAAAAAAAAAAAAAAAAAAAAAAAAAAAAAAAAAAGAAAAGAAAAAGAAAAAGAAGAAAAGGATTCAGATTATTCATAAAGAGGCTTTCAGGTGTAAATATCATTTTATGTTCAGTGTATTCTTATCATTATTTTTTTGTCTTTTATTGAAATAATCATCCATATCCAAATGTCAGCGAAGCGAATGGAAATCCACAGTTATCTTCCTGAAGAGAATTTGGTAAATATGGTCATGTTTATTTCAGCTCGTTTGTGTTTATGTAATTCCATCATTTATAACGGATCTATCTAATGAATTCAATAAAGAATTGTATAAAGGGTTTTTGTTTCTCTTTCTCATTGTCTTTCTCAGTCTGTGATTGAAATAGAAAATCGTTAATCTCGTGATGAAATATACATACATATCTTGGTTTCAAGTGACATATAAACAGTGAACAGAAATGAGAAAAAAAATCCATAATTGTTAGAAATAAATAAATGGTAATTATATAAGTATATGTGTATACAACAAACGGTACATAAACTTAAAACAGTCAAGTGGAAATGACAACACGAATAACTATAAACAAAACTTTGATAAATAAACATGAAACTACACAAAAAATAACAAAAAAAAGGAATTGCAAATATATTTTGAAAAAGACTAATACAGCACATAAAATAGAAATAAAAAAAACGGAAATTCCAATAAATATATATTTTCTCATTCCGATCAACAATTGACCTGAACACGAATACAAAAAAATGAAAAATACACCATCTGTATTGGACTGAAATCGTACATAAACTGCACACATAAATACCACACATACATACAAAGCAAGTAAAAAAAAAAAAAAAAAAAAAAAAAAAAATATATATATATATATAAATATATATACATAAAAAAAATATATATGTATATATATATATATATATATATATATATATATATATATATATATATATATATGTATATATATATATATATATATATATATATATATATATATATATATATATAAACCGTAAATGTTAATTTTCTGGAAACTG